CAGGAAACTATTATAACAAAGCAAATGACTACTATAACCAAGCAGGACACTATATGGACCAAGGTGAAAGATTCTTTAACAGAGGATATAACCATGCACAACAGTGGGTAAACAATAACCAACCGCAACCACCTCAAACTTGGGGAATGTAAAGTTTTTTACTGAGATGAAATGAACAATTCAGCATTGAGACAAATGGGTTCAAGATGGATTTGTCGACTTCCAGCAGTTACACAACGTGTTTGTCAAGTTCTTCCTATACCTCAGGAAGTTTTAGACCGACTTAAAAAACCTAAACAACCAGTTGAAAACAAACCAAACTAAAATTTTTTACTGAGATGAAATGACCGAAGAAGTTGAAACGGTAGATTTGACACCACAAACAAAAAGTTCAGAACCATTGTCAAAACCTGTCAAAGACTTACAGATGAAGAGAAAATTCAATAATAGAAAGTGCCAGGTCTGGAAATACAAACCCTAACTACAAAGTCACTTTTCATAGAAATGGAACGGCTAGTATCTCAAAAAGAAACAGACTCTCACAAATAAAATATTGAAGTCTGAAGGAGCTTTCGAGACAACAGATGGAAAAGTTTACTTCACTGACCAACAGTTCATTATAGAACATCTCATGACTTAGAGTCGAAATATTCTAAACTTTACAACAACACAAAAAGTTGAAAGGAAAACAAAAACAAATGGCATATGATATTTATGAAGATGTTGACGACACAACCATACCTGCAAGTGAGGTAAAGTCAGAGGAACCGAAAAGTGACGAAAAACCGATAGAAGAAGAAAAACCAAAAACTGAGATAAACCAAAAACAAAGTTTAGTTTCCAAACTAAACCAAGTCAACCTTCATTAGCTGGTATGGGTTGGCGTCAAAGGCTTATGATAGCAGGAGGTTATGTAAAGTAAAGAAAAAAAACATATTTTTTTATTTTTATAAAAATGCCCCCGTATAGAATGGATAGAAAATCTGCTAGAATAAAAGCAGAGTTGCAAAGATATGGTTGGAGAGTTTCGAAGAAGTTTAAATATAAGAAGGGAAGACCCATAAAAGTCTATGACAAATTGTCTGGTCTTCGCTACGAAATGGACTTAGAAACCGCGCGCGCCAATTATCCAAACAGACTAGAGAGGTTAGAAGAAGAACGTCTTATGGACATGCCTTTCGATGTTAGTGAACCTCAAGTTGAAGGACACGACGGCTTTGAGAGATAGACATTCCTTGTATGACACCTTTTCCTGTTATAGGAAACTGTTGTAGTAGAAAAACCAGATATAAGTTTTGTATTATAGCTCATATTGTTTATAGTAAACTCAGTCGGACATCCAAACATAATGAAACCTGCTCTAGTTGCAGCACATGTTACACTCGTCCTTAAAGTATTAAATAAGTCAACAAAACCTGTTGGTGGTATATTGAGTAAGTATCTTAAAGGAGTATTTTTTACCATTCACAACAATAAAATCTTCTGGTGTCAAAAGAGCAAAACAGGCTTAGTCGTCATCCGTGTTTAAGGTCAGTTTACAATATCGTCCTTGAGGACTTTGTAAGTTTGTTGTTATAGAATTATATGACCCAGGGTTTTTAGTCGTAATAGTATAAACCATTATGTCTTCTGCCATTTACTTAGCAAATAAACTTTAATGAAATGTTGTGGTCGTCAAATATTTTTATGACGTCTGGGAAACTATACTTTAAGTTCAACGTTTCACCTCCTTTCATAACGTATATCTTGTCATGACATTGTATGAAACACCACAGCAAGCTGTCGGTT